TTTGGTTTCCTTTCAAAATGATGACATCCCTTGCAATTACTTTCCTGATATCAGCTGAAATTTGACTTTCATTTTTAAAATATAATTGACAACATTATGGTTTCAGTTATTGGTGTAGAGCCACGCTAAAGCAGCATGGAGGAGGCAGGATCTGCAGAGGAGCAAGTCCCTGACAGCCACGAGATGCACGATGGCCTGGGGCTTTTGGGCCTATATGTTAGGATGACCAAGTGCTGGAAGGTCTGTCCATTGACATGACCATACGGTGGATTCCTGTGTTGGAATGCGATAGGTTGGAAGGCCCATGAACTGGAAGATCTGTGCTGATGGCATTTACTGCCTGCAGTCATTGTGTGAGGACATCCATCTGTGCCCTGGAGCGATGTGACAGGGAGTGTCTGCATTGAGGGTGTTGCTTTCTGGGGAGCTCCTGCAGCTTGCTGATATTTTCTTGGCTGGTTGAAGAACCAAATTCTAGTGGTGCTTTTGCTTGTGTTGTTTCCTAATGACTTTGTCAGGTTGGCATTATTTCTGAGAGCAGAAGCGTGCAGCTGCAGGCGCTGAGTGCTTGGAGGTGCAGCTGGGGTCAGCAGAGCCCTGGGGGTGGATCGCCGCCCACTGTCCAGAATGCCCACGTGTAATTGCAGCACTTCTCATCCCTGCAGAGTGGGAAATATAAGCATTTTCTTAACTTCTGAATATCTAATAGGATATTTTGTGTGTGTAGGAGCCCAGACATAATCCCCAGGGGAAGTCAGCGAAAACTGAAGTATAAATCACTGTATTTGGATCAGGTGTAACCACTCTGAATACGCGTTTTACAAGCTAGAGCAGTGTCCTCCTGTGGTTCACTTTCATGTGGGATTAGGATGTTTGATGTGAGTGTGCAATTTGCTGGTGCCGAGCGTTGACTCTGAAGACAAAATAAGCAAAGTCCAGGAAAATTCCTGACGGCCCTCAGCCGAGTCCAGCAACATTTCTGGGAGAAGTTTATAGAGCGTTTTCTGGTCCTTCAAGGACAGAAGCCCATGGAGAGGCTCTAGAAGATAACATACTGCTGCCATGCCCAAAGCAGAAGGAAGATATCTTGGACCCAGCTGTGGGCATCAGATGTGGCAGTGATGTCCTGCGGGGACGGGTTCACGAGTGCCTTAATTTGACATGTGCATCAGCAGAAGAAAAAATAATCTTTGTGTAGCCAAGAGCAAGCAATCTCAAGTACTTATCTGCTTCACAGAGAGTGCCCGGCATGCAAAGTGCTTGCTTTTGTTTGAGCCCACAGACAAATTGTGGTATTCCATTATAATTAGCTTGAGGTAAGTCAGGACACACTATTAAATGACCAGATGACTTTTCATCCAAGTGAAGATTTCAGCCCACTGGATTCGCTCGGAATCAGCAGGAAAGAAATTATTGACTTTCTAAAGCCTGGCTGCATAAAAGGTAGCAAGTTGAACTGAAAATGTGCAGAGCAGCAAAAATGCAGAGGATCAGGGAAAATATCCCAAAATAACAGCGGCAAGGACAGAAGTCTTCCCGCAAAAAATAACACCTTGTGTCCCCCGGGCACCACGAAGCTCCAGTGACTGTGCTGTAGTTCCATGCAGCTGACACCATGGGCAGGCGGGGAGCAGAAGGCACGCTGTGCAGTTGCAGCAGCCCAGCGTCCTTGGGACTCGCAGCAGCAGCGCTGGCTGCAGGGACTCTGCTCTTCTGAGGGTCTCTTGTTTTGAAACTTGAAACACGTGGCTTTGCTGTCTGCTCAGCAGTGGGAGAAATGCTGTGGCAATGAAGGCTGCAGGACACGCTGCGGTAACAGAGGCAGGGCAGCGGTGCAGGGAGCAGCACAGCCCCCTGGGGGGCAGCAGTGATGGGCATCTTGAGAAGACCAGAGGGCTCTGATGCCTTTACAGACATGCACGTTTAGATGCTTTCATGTGCTGCGGGCTTTAAAGGCAATGCCTACCTTAAGCTGAGGATTTCAAAGCCAAGGGTCAGTTTTCCTCTCTTTCTTTTGTTTTTTTTTTATGCATCATCTGGGTCAGTGACCCTTTGCACTGCTGTGAATGCCTGCCGTAGCTCGGCTGCTGGGTGCAGACCCAGCCAGTCCAGGCTCAGATGAAGACAAACTTCAGCTCCAGTGACAATTTCTGTTGTCATTGTATGTGGCCCCATTAAGTGAGGTCGAAATGGGAGATGTTAAATGCTCATCTCATGTCCTGAATAGCAAATGCAAGTTCCAGCTCCTTTGTGCCTTTAATGCAATAAAAGCAAAGGCAGCTGTATACAAACCATTTGGCAGCTGCTGAATGCTCAGGGTATCTGGGAGTCGATTAAATCTTTTATGTGCCATGTCTTGAGCAATATACTGCCAGCTGATGCCTGCCTTCTGCAGCACGGATCTGGCAGCATTACATACAATTTTTCCTGATGGCTGTATTTAGCCACAGAAAATTTCCTTTGTGCAGGGAGGGGCCACATTGTGCAGCACGAGGACATGGTCCTCTCTTCTTTTTCTTTCTTGTGTTGCTTTACATTGTAGATCTGCTTGGAAAATGGATCCAGATTTATTTTAAAACCTCTCAGACTTGTTACCCTGTAGATGTTCCCTGCTTCCACAGGGGCAGAGCAGAGAGGTAAAGATGTGTGCTGGGCACTCACCTGTTGGTGCATGGGCTGTGCTCCTGCAGCCACAGACATTTTAGGGAGGGTTCCTGCTGGTCATGGAGGACCTAAGTGACATGGATGGAGAGGGCAGGAGCAGCACCGGTCCTTGTGTTGTGATGGGGGACAGCAGGGTGCAGAGAGCTGCACAGCACTGCAGGGCTGCACAGAGGTGTGGAGCTGCACCAGCACAGAGCTGTGCTGTGCTCCTGTGGAGCTGCACCTGAGCAGTGCTGCCTGGTGAGGGGAGGAACGTTCCTTCGACCCTCGTGTGTTTTGTTTCTTCCCTAGAAAACAGATGAAAAGTTTGTATAGTACTTGAAAGTGGAGTTACTTTGCACGTAGGTGATGCTCTTCTGTTTCAGAACACCACTTGCAAGAGAACCTGCTGTTGCGTTTTCATTTGTTATGCTAGATGTCCATTTTTCCTGCAGAGAAACAGAGAGCAAATGACAGAAATGTGAAAAGCAGTATGTGGAAGGATGGAAAAGTCAAAATCTAAACCAGAACTAATGACAAAGATTTAGAAATTGATGTGTTTCTAGCCTTAATGTGAAACAAATCAGAAAATAGCATTGTTTGGTATCTGCATTGCTGTTACTCATGGATTTGTTTTTAGATAAGCTGTGTAGTGACGCCCATGTCCTAAGGGGGTATCATTGGGTCTTTGCTGCTGAAGGAAGTTAGAGGGTGCAGTTACTTTCCCTTGGCTTATTACTGTCAGCTTGAGGCAGCAGTCGGGTCGTGCTGGTGCTGTGCATCGCAGCAGGCAGCTCCCTGCTCACATTCAAGATGCAGGCAGCGAGTTTCAGCCCTTGTCTGTGCTGTCTGTGCCGTGTGTCTGTCTGTGCCGTGTGTCTGTCTGTGCCATGTCTCCCTGCAGCTGCTGGTGTCCCCAGGCAGGGCCAGACCCCTGCTGCCCCCCGGTAGGAGCCAGCCCAGAGCATGCCCTCAGCACAGAGCTGTGTACATCCGTGGTTCTCTGCTTGTGCAGTCATTGCAATGGCAACTGCAAAATAATCCCCGTAATTTCATTGTGTTGCTAATTAGGATGTTTGTAGCAGGCTAACGATAACCTCCTATTATTTTGTCATCTTCTGCTGTAATGTGTCCTCAGTGATATTACATTATGTACCATTAACACTTGCAAATTGTTATTAATGGGAGCATTTTGGAAGTATGGAAGAGTTCAGGTCTCCCTGTGACCTTTCCTCCATCCAGGGATGCTGTGGGATGCTGCAGGACCTATTAGATGATGTGGGATCCATGGGATGCTGCGGGTGCTGTGGGATGTTAGATGTTATGAGGGGCAGTGGGTGCTGTGGGATCTGTTGGATGCTATGAGGGGCAGTGGGTGCTGTGGGATCCATTGGATGCTATGAGGGGCAGTGGGTGCTGTGGGATCTGTTGGATGCTATGAGGGGCAGTGGGTGCTGTGGGATCTGTTGGATGCTATGAGGGGCAGTGGGTGCTGTGGGATCCGTTGGATGCTATGAGGGGCAGTGGGTGCTGTGGGATCCATTGGATGCTATGAGGGGCAGTGGGTGCTGTGGGATCCGTTGGATGCTATGAGGGGCAGTGGGTGCTGTGGGATCCATTGGATGCTATGAGGGGCAGTGGGTGCTGTGGGATCCGTTGGATGCTATGAGGGGCAGTGGGTGCTGTGGGATCCATTGGATGCTATGAGGGGCAGTGGGTGCTGTGGGATCTGTTGGATGCT